TGTCTGCATGATGTTTTCTGTCTGATTTCTACGTGAGTATGGAGTTGTCAGAAAAAATGGAACAAGCCTTTAGCTATCCGCTCGGCCTCCCTTGAACCAGATTAGTTGATGTTTGGTTGATTTTCGCCTTGGGTTCATAATCAGAATCAACCGGTATTATATTCGACTCGGGATATAAGGAGGCCACCGACGCGATGGCTAATTCAAGAACTGTCAGTCATACAAATGGGGAAATAGCGCGGCGAAATAACCATTGTAGATAGTGCTGCCCAGTTATCTGTTCACGAGAGCCCTAGTAAATATCATATACCTCCGAAGAATCTCTGAGGAGCTCCCACCGGACAGGTAATCAGCTCACCTCATCGCGAAGTTGATCTATCCGCATTACCAGCCCTTCTTCTTGAATAGGGAATGTAGGACACTTCTGTTCACGCACTTTGAGGCCGTGCGGAACAATGTTTAAGCGAGAAGTTGTACGCTTGTAGGCCTCCAGATACAGATGATTGGCATCGCGGCCGTCCTCCACGGTGCTGTTTGTTGCAGCTCACATATAAGATATTATATTTTCGCCGTCTGAGGGTATTTCCATTGAGGTTGCGTCCGCTGGTGACACCGCCGTGCAGAAGGAAGGTTCCGAGTCGTTCAGAGGAGCTCCAGGAGCTCTGCAATTCACGCAGGGTGGGCGGGGACATTGAAGATACAGTGGAGGGGGTGTTAGCCACCTTTCTGGGTGGTAGTTTACAAGTCCCGGATGTGTCGACTATGTGCGCAAGTAATTTCGTTCCAATAGGGGCTCCTGTCGATGAGCCAAAGTACGCCGGAAAGAACAGTAAAATATGGCCCAGGGAGGTCGGAGCATACTTAACAGTCCTGTCCCTGTCAGTGGAGGCCGACGCTTCAGCAGTGAGGTGCTTAGTGCAATGGGGCATGAACTTGATAGTAGTTCAAGTCGAAGTTGTAATGAAACTATGAGCATCTTTTGGGTCAAATCTTGCTCGCGCAAAACACAAATCGTACAGACCTTGGAAAAATCTGGGCTAAAATCGGAGACCACCCGGCAAGGGTAACGACCCATTTCCATTTTTTATTGCAGAGTTCAACCTCAGTATTAGTTGAGATATAAAAAAAACAAATTGGACCCACTTTTATTCGACCTCTCATTGGCTGATGGCAGTTACGTGAATGGAAGCCCAAGGAGGCTCGGATGCGGAGGCGGGGAGGCGGAGCGTCCTTATAGAGCGGTTGGTGGGTCGGAGGTAGGCCATTGGTGGTACGAAAGATGTGTGAGGTTGCGATTCTAAACAATGCATCACCGATGTCCGACTCACGGTCAGAATCTGACTCGGAGGGCACCGGCATGATCCGAGTCGTCACTCTTCTTCCCCCATCCAGCCTCCCTTGGCTGTATATTACAGTCTCCCGACTCTCGTTCAGTGGGCACTCGACGTTAACAGACTACCTTATAATAACATGTCACTGCATATGATCTCTCGGAACCTCTATCAAACCTCCGGAGCCCTCCTCTTCAAGATGTGCTTCCTTGCAAGTTGACTCTCATCCTTTTTTGCCTCTGGAGGCACATTCTCCGGTTTTTAACTCTCAAAACATCTTCAAGCGCAAGTTAATATCGACTGGAGGCAGGTAACCTATGGCATGGAGGCCTCCACGACCGAGATGCCTCCAACCTCCATGTTTATGTTTTCTTTTGCCCCACAACTTCCAGAGTCTGCAACGGCCCGCTTACACCTTTTCATCTAATTTTGACAATGCCCTCCATCTCATTGTCTCTCAGCGCCTCCGGCGGGTAGTGTGTTCACCCGGTCCACCCCATTTTCTTCTCAGGACCTCGCACAATATTTTACATCGGAGTGGGACGATTCTGTGACTTGATGTCAACCTGCCTGTGCGCACCGCCGCCATCGGGAGGTCTAGCAACGACCATTGGCTGCCACAATGGCACCGCCATGGTGTTGAATATTCCTGCCTGCTCAAAGTTATGATGCCTGACAATGGCACCTACTACTTCCAATGTCCAATAGTTCCTGTCTCACCATGCTCTTCATGTGCACGGTTATGTGCACAGTGGCCTCCGCGCGTCGCTTTTATGTGCTTCAACCGTCATTTGCTTGCAGGACAATCTTCCAATACCTCTGCTCAGCCTCTGCTTGTTGTTAGCTTGGTCGCTAGAACCTTCTCCACTGTCAACCTGCCCTCTTTTCCCGTGCATGGTGGCCTCCTCTACCCGCTTGCCCATTGCACCAGCTCGGCCACCACGGCCACTGCAATAAATATGGGAATGTCTTGGGTAGCTCGAAGGGCTCCCGCAGGCGGTGCCGGCACAAATGCCCCGGGCGAGCTGAATGATGTGCGCGGAGCCCACCGATTTTTTTGGGGACCACCCGGTATTGCTGCCAATGACTTCTTTAACCTCTACCTCTCTTCCGTAACCTACCACTTAGATTTTATCTAGGGATCCATCTGTACTATGGTATTCTACCTGCATTGAAATACTGTTTGATATTCAACACGGAGGCCTCCGAGACAAGGAGCCCAGCCACGGAGGCGCGATTGGCGCCGCGGGAGGCGGCAGGTAAGCGGCACGTGGAAAGTACATAATACTATTAATAGAAGCAGCGGAACCTCCCTCGCGGAGGGGACCTCTTAGGTACCTTTAACTAGTACAAGAAAAGGTACCTAAGAGGTCCCCCACGTGACCAAAACGGAGGCTCCTTAGGTGGGCAAGGTAAAGTCGACTGGGTGTTTTCTTTGTTATTGCCATTTTTGATAATCACTGACAAGTTTCGGTAGGTTTGCAATTCCGTAGTTAGTCAATTGCCTTGTAATCCCATCATCTCAATCTTCACGTACTCTATGATGTAAGTGCCCTGGCTGCCATTCTTTTCTGCGGCTTACTGACTTCATCCTTGACAGTCTGTAGATTGTCCGCAGTAAATACTACAATGCGCCATAAAATTTCAAGCTGCTGTACTGTACAATGTCTTATAAGCACTTTTGCTGCCTTTTATTTCTGTGGCTTACTAACTTCAGGTTTGACAGACTGTATATTGTAGAGAATATTACAATGCGCCATAAACTTTCAAGCTACAGTATTGTACTGTACGAGCTACCTTTTTTCACCGCCGCTTACTGACATCATTATCTTCCATAGATAATACCCCGTGCCGTATATGAAGATTGTAATTACTTGGTGAGCCCATCACCTCCGACCAGTCGCTAATGGTGTCCCTCAGGTCCCTCAGGTACCTCGGAACGCGCCGTCACGTGCGACGCACGCAGAGACATCCACGACTCCATGGGGCGTTTTGCATGCGCTGCTCGTGATGGCGGTGCTCGGCGAAGCGCGGCCCACGAGTGGTATGCCCAAGCAGGCTTCATGTGGGGGGCAGGGCTGACAAAGGTGAGAAGGCGGTGGGCTGCCGGCATGTGTTTTGGGCAGACAAAGGGGGAGTGAAGGCGGGCTGACCCAAGGACAAAGGCGTGGTCGCGTGCTGACCAAGGCGACTTGCGGAAGCAGTCATGGCGGCGACATACGGGGGTGTTAGCATGCCAACAAAGGTGATGGGCAAGTTGTGTGGTACACTGACAAAGGCGACGTGCAGGCACAGTTGTAGGCCGACAAAGACGACATATGGGCACAGCAGTGTGCCCATAAAGGCGACTTGCGCGCATGGGAGCCACCGGACAAAGGCGACGGGGTCCCGGGAAGCGGTGCCAAGCGGGGCGCAGGGTGGGCAGCTGCGTGACGCCGGCCGTGGGCCGGACGAATGAGAGCGCGGCGACAAGAATGAAGCCAGCGTGGCTCTGTCTCGTGTGGCACGAGGGCACGGCTGGTCTACGGCTTCATAATGCCGTGGCTTGGCAGATCCACGACAGCATCTTGCGGCTGACTTACGGCTGTCTCGTGGCTGGGGGCAACAAAATACAGAACTTAAGTACTTAAATGCCTTCTCAATGGCAAACAAACTTGCTAAGTCTTTCAAATATACTATATTCATTTATTCTACTAGATCTAGGTACAATTTATGTAGGACTTTGTCTACTATAAAGGAGAATATAACAAAGATTTGATGTGCTACGCGTGACAAGGTGCGAAATGTGTTTATCGCACTTACTTTTGAGGTATGTCAGTCATTGCCTGGGCCCAGTGTGAGAGACTATGTTTAGTGCAACTGGCTGAACGGGCGGCGTGATACCCGGTTCGACAATGGTGGGGCGACCGACGTCATCCTACCCCTGCTTCTCGAGGTACACGCGCGTCGGGTTGGCACCGTTGCGCACCTGCACGACGTCAGTAACCACCTCAAACATATTACGATGATCATACGGACTGCGACGTCGAATCTCCCCGCAAATGGCTTAATCGACATAAGGCACGAGGTCTCCGAGAAGACGACCCTGTCTTGCAACTTTGCGTTCCGTTTTCTTCCTTTCTCTTTTTTTATCCGGTTGTACCCCTCCCATTCTTTATCAAATTCCCCTCTTTTCTTTTTCTCTTTCGTTACCTCTCCCAGGACATTGCGCTCACCCGAGGCGCCAGATCGTCGCCTCCCTCTACGCCCTCGGTCTGCTCCTCCTCCCGCACCAGTTCCGGCAGGAGGCCAACGCAAGGAGGACGAAAAACGCCGATGTCGGGCAGAAGAATTCGCCGGAGCCGCTGATTTAAACAAACCACGCTGCCTCAGGAGTTGCCGGATAATGCTAGTAGAATATTGAAGGACGAGGAAGAACTTGTATATTATTGTCGTGCACGCTTTGCCATGAAGAATTGGTAAATGTTAATGCTGGTACTCGCACTCACGTATGGCGGAGCCTGAGGAAGGTTGAATCCGGTGCGAGAATCTCGCCAACCTCTCACGGATACCTCGGAATTCAGCCTGACCGCAAAAAGGGGGAAAAAAAAAAGAAAGTCACCTCCAGCTTTTTTTCCCTGTTTGTGTTAAAATTGTAGGGTAAAGGAAGGTCGAACAGGAGCATGAGAAGGCCCAGTGGCGGATGGTTTCTGCACCTGCTTTCTATTAGCATATACTTGAAGTTAGCAGGAGATGCTCGTTCGACTCGAGCCTGGGCCATATCCTTTGCATGGAGCTTTTTTTTTCGGCCGGACGGAATCGTTGGGCGTTAGGTAAATGGAGGTGAAAAGGGAGGAGAGGAAGGCCCAGTAGCGGACGGTCCGCGCCTGCGCTCAAGTCATCAGTTGTGAGGTGATGAAGAAGTAGGCAGGAGATCCTCGTTCGACTCGAGCCTGGGCCAAATCCTTTCGTCACCTCCAGCTTTTTTTTCCTGTTTGTGTTAAAATTGTAGGGTAAATGAGGGTAAAAAGGGAGGGAAGGAAGGCCTGGTAGCGGACGGCTTCCGCATCTGCACCCAATTCGGGTCTGAAATAGAGGATGTATGCTAAGGAGATGCTCGTTCGACTCGACCCTGGGCCATGCAATGTTTCCACCAGTTTTTTCTTTTTCTTTCTTTCGGCTGGACGGAATCGTTGAGTAAAGTAAGCTTAAGGGAGGGTATGGAAGGCCTGGTAGCGGATGGTTCCGCACCTGCATTCCATTCTTGATGTACGTTGATACAGCAGGATGTGCTCGTTCGACTCGAGCTTGGGCCATTCAATGTGTCCTCCAATTTTTTTTTTCGGCTGGACGGAATTGCTGGGCAAAGGAAGCTTAAAAGGAAGGGGAGAAAGGCCCGGCAGCTTAGGACCAGCACCTGCTCTCAATTTCTCTGCTATGGTTTCAGGTGGAGACGCTCGTTCGACTCGAGCCTGGGCCATATCCATTCGGGTTTCCCTTTTTTTGGCCGGCGGGGAGGAATGGTTGCATAAAGTAAGGTGAAAAGGGAGGAGAAGAAGGCCTAGTAGCGGAAAGTCCGCGCCTGCTCTCAATTTGGGGATAATAAAAAAGGATTTAGGCAGGAGACGCTCGTTCCACTCGAGCCTGGACCATTCGCTGAGTTTCATCGGATTTTTTATGCAGGCGCGAAATTGTTGGGTTACGAGGCTATTAATCATAAGGCGGCGGGAGCCACTCGTTCGACTCCAGTCCGGGCCATCCGCCTGTAGGTGCGCTTTTTTTTATGCCTGTGCAAGATTCGAAGAGAGTGAGGTGAAAAGGGAGGAGAGGAAGGCCCGGTAGCGGGAGGTCCGCGCCTGCACCCAATTCGGGTATGAAGAAGAGGATGTGGGCAGGAGCCGCTCGTTCGACTCGGGCCTGAGCCATCCCCCAGTTTCATCCTTCTTTTTGTTTTGGCAGCACCTAGGGTCGGCCATTATGGAGTACAAGCATTTCCTCGAAAAATTGCTGATTCATCCAAGCTCACAGATACTATTGGGGACTGGGTAGTTGACCAGTCGGGGTAGTTGACCATTTGAAGAATAGACTGTATACACAAGGATATGGCTAGGTTGCACTCTGAGGAGGGAATAGGACCTCAGACGCCACTCTGTGTCGAATTTCGAGGCAAAGTGATGGGTTGATCGAAAGCTGTGCTGCCGTTCGGTGCGGGCCGACACGTGAGAACATCAATTTCTTAACTCCGGACAGCCTTCGCCGCTTGTTTCTCGACCAATTCTTGGTCAATCCACGACTTTGGGGCCTCGTTTTACTAGCCTGTTTCGGGGCTCCACACCGAGCCACATGTGACCCTTTATATGGGCCATCCTCTCGGAGAGATGCCTACAAAGCATTGAAATGCGGCCTCAAGCCAGACAATTTAACCACCCGCACAGCAGGAGAACCGTCCGAGGTACAGGTCTGGGATTGGGCATAGTCTCTTGTCTCACTAACTGCTTGACCCTCATACCTATCCCAATATTATATCCCTTTTTTTCCACTCTCACCGACCTTCAATACATTGAATCATCCAAATTCTATGGGTCGGACGGCAAGATTTTTTGTAGGGGTGGGTAGTTCAAGTAGTGGAGGTAGGTACTCAGATATATCTATATCCATCTTATGAAGTCATCTGTAACTTTTTTTAGTCTACGGTGCCCTCTGACCGTTGCGCTGGGCTCGGTTAGTTACCAACAGTAATCCTGCCTTTTGCTCTCTGCTTCTGAATTAAATATTTAACCCCCACGAATAGCTCTGAATTTGGGTTTCAAAGCATAGAAATGTCAACTAGTACCTCCAATTGGATATCCGATATGCCACAACCCCTAATCTGACACCTAACCGTGTCTTTGGGCCAGTGGTCAGGTACCCTGAATTTGGCTATTCTTGTCATGCCAGCGGAGAAAATTCACCATGGCCTCAAATTGGGTTTGATCGATTGGTAGGATGCATGCCTTCATCCTTAACCCGTACGGACAGTGTCATGAAACTAGTGGTCTTTGGACGTAGGCCAAAAGCCTTAGGTGGTCAAGTACCCAGTACTTAACAGTAGCAGAAAAAGGCCTGGTAGGGGACGGCTCCGCACCTGCTCTCAATTTCGGCGAGAAGAAGAAGAATCAGCAGGAGATGCTCATTCGACTCGAGCCTAGGCCATTATCCATTCTTTCTGGTGCCTCCCCTTTTTCCTTTTGGCAGCACAAAAATCGCAGAGCTAGGGGAGGTCGGCGGGTACAGAGGAAGACCTGGTAGCGGACAGTCCGCACCTGCTTCCCACTTAGTCTCTCTTGACAGACTCCCTCGCTCGTTCCTCGTTCTGAACTTCCCATTCTCTCCGGACAACGAAGTCGGCAGGAGAGTTCTCGTTCGGTTCGAGCCTGGGCCATAGACCATCAACTTCGGATCTTTCTTTCGGCTGGACGGAATTGTTGAGCAAAGCAAGGTCGAACAGGAGGCGAGAAAGGCTCAGTGGCGGACGGTTTCCGCACCTGCTTTCAATGGCTGGCCCAAGTGTCCATAGCAGCAGGGGTTGCTCGTTCGACTCGAGCCTGGGCCATGGACCATCGACGTCGGATTTTTCTTGCGGCTGGACAGAAAACGTTGTGTAATTAAAGGAGTTCGTGGGAAAGAGATGAAGGCTCGGTAGCGGGAGGTCCGCACCTGCTTTAAATTTTCCTTGAGCGATGATATTGATGTAGGCAGGAGAAGCTCGTTCGACTCGAGCCCGGGCTATAGCCCAGGTCTATGTCCTCTTTTGCTGCCTGTGCGGAAAATTATGAGATAGAGGAGTAAGTAGGGATGGGAGAACGGCCTGGTAGCGGACGGTTCCGCACCTGCTTCATATTGCTCGGAGTTTTCAACCTCAGCAGGAGAACGCTCGTTCGACTCGAGCCTGGGCCATTCTTTGATCATTTCTAGCATTTTTTCTGCCTCACACAAAATCTTGAGATGGAGGGGGCAGCAGGGAGTACAAAAAGGCCCGGTAGCGGACGGTTTCCGCACCTGCTTCCTATTCTTCGGGTTTCAGGGACGTTTCAGCAGGAGTCACTCGTTCGACTCGAGCCTGGGCCATACGGTTTATGTTGTGTATACCTTTCTTTTTTTGAGTCTGCGATAAAGTCTGATTTACCCAAGCACCTAATACAGAAAATGCCTGGCAGTGGTAGGTCCGCGTCTTCTCTAAATACTTTAGCAAAAAGAAAATTCAGCACGCGACGTTCTCGGGCCCTTCATTACGTGCTTCATTTTTATTTTTCCCTGGCTCCTAGAAAGCGCTGGTATAGTGACGGAAAGGGGGACGATAAGGAGCGGAGGGTTCGCCCCTGCTCTCAAGTATTTGAGTACGAACGGGTTCAGCAGGCAACACTCATCCGACTCGAGCCTGGGGTCTTCATAACCTTCTTTTTTTTTCGGCTGCATGTAGATCGCTGGGATAGTGAAGGACAAAGGGAGGATCGGAAAGCCCGATAGCGGACGGTCCCCACCCGCACTCAATTTGGATTGAGAGCCTTGAATGCAAGAAATGCTCGTTCAAGTCGAGCCTGGGCCATTCGTTGCCTTCGCGTTTTTGTTGAGGGAAAGAATTTCCGACAAGGGTTGTGCCTCGCTCTCAATTCGTCACGAGCACAATTTTCCATTATTATGACGATAGCGCCCGGCGTGTTTGCTGATGCTGTCACGACGCGTCTAAGACGCGACCGTCACGTGGTGGCGGTGCGCTTACCCTTGGACCTCGACGCTGGTAGCACAAACCGTACCGATCGGCCGGAACTATCTACGTGGACCGAGGACGGGTGCATCGCGTGCTGCTCGCCATGTGCTTCTCGAACAGGCGGCGCGCGGAAGCGCCGTCCGTGGTACGGCGTGGAGCAGCACGGGCATTCTGCGAGTAGTGCGTACGGGGGAGCGTGTATGCGTTCTGTTCTCCAGGCTATGATGACGTGAAGGCGCCCCCCTCGCGTACGCCTCCTCGCCCGTACTCGGAGGTGCACGGGGTGCTCGTGGGCTCGCGGGCGGCGCGTGCGCGAGCGCGCGCGGGGCGCCGACGCAAATGCGCTCGCGCACTCTTCGACGGGGAACATGTGCGCTGGACGCGGAGAAAGGCGGCGCTGGCGTACCGACGTGCACCGGCATGTTGCGTTTCCGCCGCCACAGTGTGTTGTCCTTCGCCGGAGGTCGTCGGCAACACTGGCCATGGAGGCGACGGCGTCAAGACGCATGCGAGATGCGAGGGTCGTTGTCGCGCGATGGGCGGGCGGATGATGGCACGGCGGTGTATCTGGCGCGTGAGGTGCTAGACTTCGCCGTGGACGACACATTCCAGTGAGTCTGACGTGCTCTCGTACTATCCTCTCGTGGAAGCTCCTAACACCTTCGCTCCGTGGCCCTCCTGCTCCCGGCGAACTTAGTGGCGCTGCGGCGCCGACTGCCCTTCTCCCTCGCGTCATCTTCCTTCTTCTTCTCCTCCCAGCTCCGCGTCCTCGCTCGCCTCCCCGCTCGCCTTACTTCTCCAGAACGGCATGCGCGAGCTGCTCTACCTCTTCGAATCGGTCATCAACAGAAGGCGGGAAGTACATCCTGTGGAAGCTCATGCAGATCGGGCGAAGCTTACTCAGTGCGTACCCTTCCTTTCCTCCCTGCCTTTTCTCTCCTCTCTGTGCGGCATGCTGACGAAAGGCGTATAGTGCGACTCAAGCGACGAACACCAAGAATATCCGGCTCGTGTTCGCCGCCGTGAAGGAGCCGATCCTGCAGAACGCGCTCAAGGACTCGGGGATCCTGTAGCCTGCGCCTCCTGTGCTCTTGGCCTGCAGGATCGTGTGAGCACGGGCTACAGGATCGACTGATCAATTATGATTTACTTGCTGGACTGGACTGGGCGGCGGCGCCCGCCTCTGGTCTGCGTATCCCCTCGATACCCTAGCGGATACCCGCGCCGCGCGTGCTAATAGACCGCACAGGCCGCGCAAGCGCACAGGGTCTTCTTTCTTTAATCGTTGCTCTGGTTTCCGTCTTCGGGTTTGGTCTCGTTGTTGCTCTCTCTCTTTCTATCTCAGTATCTTCATCTGGGTTTCACCTCTCTCGTCATTCATATCTGTGGTCTCTCTCTCATTCAGTACACATGGTCTCTCCCGCTTTATTACTTGACTGCGACGTGCTGCTGCTACATATGGTTTATGTTTATCCACTTAGTTGTCTACCTACGTATTTCCTTATTTCCTTATTTACTTATTTATGTAGGTTGCTGTGCAAGCCCGGTTGTAATGTCACTCGGTGAGAATCTTCATGACGGCAGAAGGCAGAGGAGGAGGGTATTTGCGTGTGCTTGGTTAATGGCGGAGGCGCGTCGAGTCACGTGCCGACGACTGCACTCAATCATTTGCGGCATGCCACGCTAAGCGAGGCCTAATCGCGAGACCCCATGCCGAAGGGAAACGACGATATGATGGTGTTTAATGTCCACTCCCTTTCTCGATTGGATTCCTTGTTCTCGGAGTCTTCGATCGGCAGTTTCCGTTTTTTTTTTTGGTACGCGTCTGTCACAATTTAAAGATATTGGATAAAATTTAACTCTCATGATACTCTGGTGGCGCTTCGCCTGCATTCCACTCATTATTCCGTAATCTCTCAGCCAACAATCGCACCAGTTCTTCCATAGGAAGTGCAGACGAGGTGGGCATCTCGATGGTCTGGCTAGGCTGCTGCTCGACAACGGGAGTTCGGCTTGATGGCGCTCCATTCCCTGTCGCTGAAGGAGGGTCTCGGTTTTTGCTCGAATTTCCCCTGTCGCTGCCAGGCTGAGTCTGCGATTCAGCTGTAAAGGGATGGATGCCAGCTGTGACGGGCTGGCCCAGGAAAATGCCCGTTGGCTGAGGATTTTCGTGTGAGGAGGCATAGAAGCGGCGTCTGCGGACAAGGCAGATAGTGAGGACCATCGCGAGCAGCGCTACTCCTCCAACAACACCCCCAATAATTGGACCAAGCTTAAGTCGCGCTTTGGGTTTGGGTAACACGGTAGAAGATGGAGTAGCAGTTGGGGACGGAGTGGGAGTTGGGGACGGAGTGGGAGTCCCAGGTGGCTGAGAAGGTGCCGAGTCGTTTCCGATGCTAAGAGCGCTTAGCAAAGCGCTGATCGCGATGGTCTGGTTGTATCCTGAAAAATCCGCGCTAGGAGGACCGGTCCAAGAGGCTGCGTAGACATTCGTGCCCCCCGATGTCGCAAGATCAATCACGGCATTGAACTAAGAACATCAGAAAATGTCGGTGGTAATTGTCGGTGAGTTTACCTGGACAGAGATATACGCACTGATGTACGCGCGCACAGCAGGAGTTGTGGTGTTTCGTGCATACACAGCCGCCAGCCCTTGGACCAAGTTCAGGTCGCCCGCGTTACGACCATTACCTGGTTAATATGTCAATCACTGAAGGTGATTGAGCAACTGGAGTTACCTCCGATGATTCCATTGTCAGTCTGCCAAGCACTGTTAGGAATGGCCGCCAGGAGGATATCATTGAGCCTAAATTTTGTTTCGGTCCGGCGCGGGAAGAAAAGGGAAGTCGGTGCTCACAGATTATGCGTGGAAGCGTTGCTCTGGATTGAGGAGAGGATTGCGAGTCCCTCAATCATCACACCAGAGCTGTAGGGCCCCACGCTGGAACTGGCGGAGCATGAATCGTTTGTCCGTCCAGATATAATGTCCGTAACAACGTTTCCCCCGGTATACAGATGTGCATGAATAAAATCGGCGGAATCGGTAGCAGCTTGGAGGTACATGGGATCGGACGTTGCTTCTGCCAGTAGGGCGGAGAGACTGCCGGTGGTTGTCAAAGCAGTGCACGGGAATTCATAGCCTGGCTCACACTAGAAAATATCTCGTTTCCAGTATCTAAGTGGGATGTGGTTAGATGATAAAAGATGGACTCACCCCGAACTCAGTGCCCCTATATCAGTCGCCGTTAGCTCAGTGTTCTACCGGCCACAGTTAGTCCTCAGTTGTACCACGAGAATTTAAATTTCTACATAAGACGTACCCCCCATGTACCACCTGCCATTGTTACTACGATATTGTGGTCAGTCAATTTTCCGAGCCAATGAATGGGGCACCCACCCCCCTCGCAAGACTTTCCTATTGGAAAGTCTTTCCCCTCAAAATTGCCAGACGAGACATCGTTCGGCGAAAGTGTCCAGGTTTTGCCGAACCACCAGGACTGAGTTGCATAATCAAGGAATAGGCGGTCTTTATATGCCCTATACGCCTTAGCTGCAGCGTACCCATACATTCTGAAAGTCCTCTCAGAAAGCTGACCAGCGCCATCGACGTACGTAGGTGCTCACAGCCCATAATCCAACTATTCCATAACCAATAAATGAGTGGGTCCAGAGACGATGAACTGAAGGACTGACACTGGTAACAAGTCAGAACACTGCCCAGACTGAAATGCGCGCTGAACTCACAATTCATCCGAAAAATTCGCTTTGTTCTGCTGAGCCTGGAGAAAATATGGTTGCAGAGTACTCTCATACTTTATCTGATTCGTTGCAATGTCGAATGCTGCCATTTGAGAGTACAGGTTCCCCGCAGTACCGTACGATTCGCCTGGGATGTTGAGCAACAATGAGGATACTACGTGACGGAAATGAAAAAATGGCGCGCCGTAAAACTCAGCGTTCGCGCTGAGTGAAGAGATGGCCACCTGAAGTGCAGCATCGGCTAAGTTGACACGCTCAGTCAGAGAGGTGGTGATATTTGATTTCTACAAGTCTGAGTTCGTCATTGCGCTAGACAGAGACGTCGAGCTCGTACCCTCCAAGACCGGGGCACGTCCTGGGCAGCACCGCGGAGGGCCGCAAAGAGAACGAGGGGGACGAAGGGGATCATTGTGAGATACAGAGAAGTGGCGCCCAAGCAAGACCTAAGTATATATCTTCTGTCCCATGTACATCATCAGTAATCAGCGCCCGACTTCACGACCAGAATAGTCCGGATAGATGCCGTATGTAAGACAAAATATCTCACCTAACGCTCCACAACGGTATCGCTGATGCATGCTTAGGGACAAACCAAGAGCAA